GTCTTGTGGGCTGGGAGCGGAGGCGAGGCGGTTTACAGTGGTTGGGAATGCATTGACCTCTAACGTACAGGGTCAGGGTCTGTGTCTTCCGAAGCCTGTCCCCTAAACGTAAGAGCTGGCGCAGTCGACGTTGCAGGGTGTTGGCTTTCTGATCCGGTGCCATGCCATCTCTGTAAACTGTGAAAGTAAAATGTTAAAACTAGAACTAAAATTTTGTTCTATGACAGAGTGTGATAGAGGTCAAAGGATGTCCTGACCCCGTAGATGGTTAATCGTGTTCTCTCTTTTCAAAGAGACTAGAACTGACAGTATAGGTTGAGAAGACTTTCACATTTTCAGTTTTCTAAATACATTTTCATGTCCTTTGAGATAGTATCTTAAATAAGGATAGTGAGTGGTCCATGGTGTAGTACTGTCCTTTCAGAAACAACAGCAACAAAAGATGCAGGGATTGTTCCACTGTGTTCAGGTGGATAATTACAGAAGTAGTTAAGGCTAAATGCTTCCAAATGTGTATATGTTTGATTTCAAATAGCTTTTTTTTCTTTTATTTTTTTTCTTATTGAAAGCCATGTAGGATCAAAGTTTATCCATACTGTCACTGAAATAAATGACTAAGAACTGTAGCAATGCCCATATTTCTGAAACTACTGGTGGAACAAAAAAACCCACAACTCCTGACACAGGCACGTTTTGTGTGTCGTCTATTCTGGTGATGCCCTGGCAGCACTGTTAGTTTATCCACACTGCTGTTATATCCCAGTCCTCAGTGTTGTGTTGTATAACTAAGTTATGCAAATTTGGTCCAGACTGAAAAATGCCATTATGACTTTGGCTCTGAAGGATTTTAACCTCAAATTACAGACTTTGTTCAAACTGGCTTATTCATCAAATTAAATTGTGGAATAAAAGGTTCATAGTGCTCATAAAGCCTTTTTGGTAAGGTCAGATTCTGCCCCTGGCACATAGCAAACAAATGAGCTTAAACTGTAGGGGAATCTTGTAGGCTGTCATTAACGCCTTTTACCAAACCATTAATGTAGCCTCAGGGCTGAAGTACCTTGTGTGGCCACTGGCCTATGTTTAGAAGTATATATGCCTTTGGCTTGATAGACTAATAAAATTGGATAAAGACCACTTTATTAGGAGGAGTTCAAATGAGTCATTACTACTCAAATTGTATTTGCAGCTAAAAATGAAAGAAGGAAGTTAACTTTGCTTGTTATTTATTTTCTTTTTGCTGTTGTTTATTTTCTTTTCTAAGCCTGGAGAGGGAAATCCAAATACTAATAATAAGTGTAAATTTGCTTTAATTCTGCTAATCCTGTTCAGTGCATGGTAGGAAGTTTATTGAAGTCACTGGGCCGACAGCAGAAAGAACTTGGTCCCTCTGACTGCAAAATGGGTGGCCTTCCTGCTCGCTCCGACACCTCTACAGAAGCCACTGGCTAAACTTTGAGGGAGAGAAGGTCTGAGGTAGTTGAAGGGAGAGTTGGACTGATGTGAGCCTGCTGGAAAACTTTAGGAAAAGGCAAAGTGAACAGGGAAGTATGGATGGAACGCAGAGCGCAGCACCTTCTTTAAGAGCACATCCTTGGCCTGGCCCCTGTCAGCCCCCAGAGAGCCCTGGTGCAGGCAGTTGAATAGCCTGTATGCAATCAATGCTGCCTGTGGGTTGAAGGTGTGTTTTTGTTTGGATTTTAAACCCTGTTGGCAGCTTGCCACACAGAAAAGGGGCTGTAGCTGAGTAATAATAAACCTCATTCATCCCTGTTGTAAATGGACTGAATAATATTGGTTCCCATTTGGAATGAATCTGACCCAGTATCTTGCTGTAAATCTGAAGTTTGTGCTGAACAAAAAGTCAGTATGAGCTATAAATATTTCTCAGTTGCCCTTCATACTAGAGATTTAGGACAGAGCACATCACATGTGGAAGAAGTCTCGCTTTGGTGAGGTGAGACCTTGTATGATATTAGCATTGAATGATTTTAGTAACAAACCAAGGGTAGCTGTGTTTTGTAGAGTGAAGGGGGTATTACGTACTACCTGGGAACGATTTCTCAAAGAAGCATTGTAATTGTTTTGCTGACTATGCTTTACATTCCCAGAAAAGGGAGGTGGCAATAACATGTTGTAGGTGAAATATGCATTTGTTAAGTACTAGCCTAAATCAGCACACGTATATTGAGCAGTTATGGAGTCGCTCATTCTGGAGAAGACGTGTATTCATGACCAAAGTGTAGAAATTATTTGAGGGAAGAAGATGCAATAACAGGCAGAAATGGGTATTGACACAGCGTACAAAAGGGAACAGCAGGTAAGCGATTAGGTTTCTTCAGCTGTCTCCTCCAACCTTATCTGCGAAGATAAACTGGGCTGGTTTTTGCTGATATGGAGGGAAGACTCATGTGCATGTTCCACAAACTCACAGAATTGTCACTGAAATGCAAATGCAACAGAACTGCTGCTCTGGACCAGTTCCTCCTATTTAGGAGAGGATGAAGCAGAATTCCCTGTTAAATTCTTATCCTCTCCCTTCCAGTTCTGCAGATTAACTCCTGAAACCTTCCACAGCTCTGTTAGGTGGAGCTTGCCATCATCTGGGACTTTGCGTAGCTGTCATGTGGGGCAGAATATTCCAGCAGGTAGCTGAATGAATGATATCATTTGAATGCAGGTTCTTGCAATCAGCTTCATGCTTTCACAGTGTTTGTATCTTCTCTGACTGTGAGATCATTACATGTGTGTAGGACAAAATGAATGTGTTTTATTGCTGACTGCTGAACTTTGCTCATACAATGGTTACAGTAAAGTCAAGGAAAAAACCCCGTGTTCCTCAAATCTGCACAAAATGTGTTTTCATGTACTTAAATTTTAAATCCTTGCAACCTTTGCCTTAAATGCAAACCTCTCTCTTTGGTGAGGGGAATAACAACTAAATAATTTGGTTTTATTCCAAGTGAGGTTTGAGTTGTATTTTGTTTGTTTGTTTTGGTAAGGTGATTCTGTAGGGATTTGGGGTATGCCAGAAATCCCTCTCTGTGTACCTAGAATATAATTCACCTCCACCGCAGCCCTGTCCTGTGTGTTCGTGGTTAAATCTAAAATTCCACAAGGTGGGATGCTGAGACTTCTCCTCTTATAAAAGCGTACATTAATATCCAAATGGAAAAGGCTGTTAAGTTGCTTTGGGATATATGATAAGGAGATTTCCTAGGGTGAAGAAAATAATGCAAAGAACTACTCATTGTATTAGAAACACTCTTCTGAATGTAGCGGTGGATTTAGGTTTTGCTATCATGTGTTAATTGTCTTCGGGAAGTCTGCTAAGAGACAGCATTAACTTCCTTGAAATAAAAATGTTTTTAAAATTGTTTGCTTTAAACTCAATTTCTGAAATATCTTTCAAGAGTGCCAAGCATTAGTAGTCTACTTAGCCTTAAGTTCTCATAGTTGTTTTTTGGAATATAAGTTTGTGTTTCTGAACTTTGGAGGTTTGTGGGGTTTTTTTGTGTTTTTTTTTGTGTGTGTGTTTTTTTAAAAAAAAAAAAAAAAACCCAAACAACACAAAACATTGTGAGTGATCATTTAAGTCTACCCCCTGAAGATTTATCCCTATGTGCTTCCATTTTGCAGAACACTGGGCATTGAATTTTGGACTTTCCCAAACATACTGGGTGCCTTTTATTGAGCTCAGCGTTCCTGAAGCACTGGGATGCTCTTGTTTGCCCTACCCTCCCTTCCCTGAGGGCACTGTCAGTGGGATCTCCTTTGTGCGTTTTGTTTTGTTAATGGGTTTTTTTTGTTTGTTTTTCTTCCCCCAGAGGCAAGAACTTATTTCAAACCAAGAAATTGTCTTCAATTTTTTTAATTGGAATAAGCAGACAGAAGGTCTATTACTGCATTATAGTTTATATATTAAATTAAAGTTTTAATTCCGTGTGCTAATTGCTAATAGGACAGACAAAAGCTTTTTAGGTTAAAAAAAAATGAAGGCTGCAGGCTTTAAACAGTTCTATTTTTATTTTAACTAGATCTTAAATGGTATATGTAGCAAATTTTGGTTGTTTATTAATGTTGCCCAAGATATGATAGGTCAGAACTAGGGTAATAAAAGTTTGTATTTTATTTGTTCAGATCTCAAGCCCTGTGACTTTCGTTTTCAGAGTAACAGTGATAAGCCAAGATAGGAGTCAAGGTCAAAGCAGTAATTTGTGTTTCTCTTGGTTTTTCTTGGCTTTTGCTCGCTTAAGGAAGTCTCAAGCTGTGTGTTTAGTGGAGAGATGTCTTGCTGGACCACACAGGGCTGAATCAGAAATAAACCTTGTGTCCCTCGAAATCTGGCTGTGTAAGGAGTCCCAACAGCAGCTCCTGCACACTGCTGATCCTTTCTTACGGCCTCTAGAAGGCTGGTAGGGCAGACCTCGCCTTATTCAAGTGTGACACAGATATGACTCGTATTTTCAGTTGTATTCCTTTATTGTATTTACTGAACACAAAGCATGTTCTGTCTGCGGAGTGGAAGTTGCAAATCCTGGCCGAGAGAAGGAAGCTAGAAGTGGCAATAGGACAGGGGAGAGAAAGGCATCCCAGAGAGCCTGCAGTCTTGGGTTGTACTTTGGAGAT